TAAGACTGGGCTGGTTTAACCCCCAGAAACAGCTGACTAGACAACGGGTATGGCTTTCTTCAGGCAGGATCCATACCTATCTTCTGCTCTATCACATGCTTACACCAAAGCAAGAGTGGCACTAGGTACACACACCCTGGATCAGTGAAGGAAGGAGCTGCTAGACACTACACCGATGTGGTGGCAATCTTGGACTTCATAAATGAGAGACTCACATCAGTTCCCCTGCATTTGTGCTGTCTCTGCACTGATTGGTCAGTCTTGGGAAAAACAGAAGTGTGTGAAAATTATGTTACGGTGTTTCCTTTTGTTTATGCTGTGGAACATTGGTTTAATGTGTTGCCTTTGTTCATGCTGATTTTGCTTAACTCTGTGAAGCTGTGATTCTTTGCTTGTCTGAAATCCCTGATGGTCTAATAAAGAGCTGAACAGCCCATAGTGAGGCAGGAGACAGGACAGGTGGGGCTGGCAGGTAGAGTGTGTAAACAGAAGGAGAAATCTGGAAGGAGGAGGAGCAAGTTATAAAAAGGAGGAGGACATTAGGGACCAACCACCCAGTTATACGACAAACCACTGAGGAAGAAGTAAAGAAAGATATCCAGAATAGAGAAAGATAGAGAGGCAAAAAAAATGGCAAATGCAAACGGGATAATTTAAGATAAGAAAATTTGGCAAGAAACAAGCTAAACTAAGGCCGGGCATTCATACAAAAGAATATGCTTCCTTGTGTGATTTATTTGGGAAGTAGGTGGCTGCCACTCCCCTCAAAGAAAGCAAAGGGTAAGGAGGCCAAAGAGTTAAAAAAAACCCAACAATATTTTGGCATTCCAATGTGCAGCTAGAGTAAAATAAATACAGCAGGGAAACCCAGAAAGTCTGATAAGCCGTTTGTTAACTCTTTGAGTGTCCACGGCCTAATAGATAATATGACCTCCTCTGATACTTTCTCCTCATTAGAAGACATGGTCTGGGTATTCATCTCTGATTTATAATCTGTATCTATTCACATATACATTTGTCTACGTCAGAGTTATTCTTTTTACAAAGTCCATTGTCTCAAGTTAGCAATGGCTTGACTACAAAAATGGCAACAGCCAAGTACTTTGAGAACCACGGATAGATCATATCAGACCTACTGAAACAGTGACAGATACTTGGAGACAGAGGACTATGTATGCTATTACCATTCAACATCAGTTATATGAGATATGCTAACCTGATACCATTTCATTCTATACTTAACCAGGTAGGGCTTCCTTGAGCCTAGGTAAATCTCCTTGCTAAGCAGACATCTAGTATCCTAAACATCCATTATCCTAATAGTGTATCATAATAAATCACATTAGATTTCCTTTAGGGAAAAGTATATATGTATAACACAGTCAATATCGTGTTTTGGATTATTACAGGAAAACAAAGTCATATTTATCGGATTTAGACTAAACATTTGGTCTATGTAACTGGAACAAAAAGTACCTTACGGTCTTCACAAATCCTTGTGGTAGGAGGCACTGCATGTGATTTTGGCGATTAAAAAGTAACTTAGAGTGAACTAGATGCTGGTCTCTTGTATTATTCTTTCTCTTCTCGTGCTGGAAGCCTCTTTTGTTCTCATAGTCAAACTTGCTAATGGTCTCAGACGTTTGGAGGAGACTGTCCCACAAAGGCAGTGGTTTTAAAGTACAGGCAGGTTTTACTGTAGCCACTTAAATGTATTTTGATCTCTGATTTCTATGCTTATACTCTAGCTGTAAGTCAGAGCATGGCCTTTTGTCAAGTGGAACAGCACTTACCTGTAGATTCCTGGTATTGGCACTGAACACTGAAAATAACCCTAGAGTGTCACTAAAATGAGTTCCTCACACAAACTGATGCCCTGCAAAAGTTTTTAGATTCATCTAAACACTTATTCTTTTAAAGAAAACAATTTTGCACATAGGTGCCATCTGGAAGCTTGGATGGGACAAATTGTGTGTGCATACAAAAAACAGCTGGCTAAGTGTCTCAGCAGACCTTCAGTGCCCCAGATGTGGATTTCTTCCTGCTGTTCCTGATAGTTGGATCAGGCTAGAAGTGACTTTCATGTTCCTCATGGGTACTGTCTAGCTTGGGGCGCCCACAGATCACCCATTCACTCAGACTGATCACCAAAGAGAATGTGGGCTGTGCTTATCCTGGAAGATTCCACAGGCTACTAGGACACAGGTTAAGACAAAGGCTAACTGCTACACTAACACAGTTTTGTCTAATGTAATTCTTTTCAAGACTGTCATGTCAGCAACTTTAAAAACAAAGTTTTGCTTAAAAAATAGAGGTCTTGGTTTTCTTTATGTTCTTGGTAAGAATTTGGAGAGCTAGCTGCCTCTGTACAGGGCTCCAAGTTGAACTTGCTGAAGATGGGTTAAGGAAGGAATCGGATTGGAGGAAAATAACACCGCTACAACCAACCGCAGGGCTCAGAAGAGGATGGAATTCCACTGGAGTTTCCACTTGATCACTTAAAACACCTCACCTTAGACTCCTTCTGACACCATCCAGATACCAACTGCAGCCTCAATCCTTAGCCTCTGCAATTAAGGCTTGACACTGCAAAAAGGTCATGAGACCCAGCACCGAGTTGACTCTTGTCTTACCGACAGCATGCCACAGTTAATATTTTAGATGAGTACAAAATAATTAAAGGAAAATATCATGGAAGTTCTAAACAGTACATGTAGCCAGCATAAATGGCACGTGCAACTAGCCATAAGAGGAGAAGAGGGTTTGATGAGTAGACACCAGGGTGTGAGAGAGAGGGGCTACAGGCTCTCACCAGAGAAAAGATTTTACACAACAGTGTGTCTTGGACTACCAGTTTTCTCACTGAATGCTGCTACTGCCTTTATGAACCCCATAACACTGCCGCCTGGAAGTATCCGTGTAGACAAGGGAATTGGCCCTTCTGACTAATTCCTGTAACGAATGTGTGACTAACATTGCACATCCAGATAAATATTAGCAAGAATATATGTTGCTCTCTACAAGTCTCTGTTGGTGGGGGAATTCTCAGTCTCACGGCAACACAGGAGAAAGAAAACTAGGGGCATTATCTCATGGAGAACTAAGACAAAGGGAGAGGGGAAGGGAGCGTTTGAAATGAGTGTAGGCAGGACTAGCCGGCAGTTCTACTTTCCATTAAAATATAAACCACCATGGGGGAGCTCATGTCTTAATTTTTCTTTAAATCAACTGATTTTGCTTTAGACATTAAATTTCACATCAAACTGGCATCTAGCAGCCCAGTAGATAGAAACTATAAAGCATTGTTTTAAGTTAGGGCAGCCAATGAGCAGTAAGTAAAAATAAAAAAAAAAGTAACTATTAGGGACAAGCAAGATGGCTTAGCGGGTAAAGGCACTTGCCACCAAGCCTGAGATCAATTCCTGGACCTCACATGATGCAAGGAGAGAGACCCAATACACTCATGGTTTCCCCCAACCCCCACATGCGGCTCTTGGCACAAATACACACATACACAATAAACAAACAAACAAACTAAAAGTAACTGTTGTTCTTCAATGAAAAAGCCGTTACCTTCTCAATCACACCCTGTTCTACACACCAAAGTCCACACATCAATTTCCATCAATTGTTCAGCTGGACTAAAGGCAGAAGTACCAGCAGCTAAGACAGTTTCAACCCAACAGTGCAAATGATCTATATGACTCTTTGAAGCTTAATCAAATTTTAAAAAAATGTGAAAAGCTCTTTTAGATTATTTTCTGGTGATATCACATTTTTACAAGCATGATTCTGCTACTTGTACTTTGCTACAAATAATCTAAATCTTTCGTTGCAGAAGAACAGAGTTATTCCTATATTTAGCTCACACATACCCCCAAAATTTTAGGGAGGCATTATGTCACTGTGTCTTTATATAAAATAACCCATGTCCTAAAGATGTATCCCTCAGTGAACTGCTTGGAAAACAGACTCTAACTTACTGATGCTGAAATAGTTCTGAGGTTTCCATTAGAAGACTCCCTGTTCAATCTACCCACTGTAAAATCATCTCCATTTAACTTCAGAAACATTTTTTTCTCCCGTCTTCTTAAACCTAATAGTGAGCCTGTGGAGGACTTCACTGGCAAAGCCACACATCTGAGACTCAGCCCACTGGTGCCATGACAGGCACTCCTAAATTCTAACACATCTCAGTCCCTTTTTATGTCCTCCCAGGTCTTCTGAACCGACAGAAGGCTCTCCTTGTCATTCTGCTTCGAGGTTTGCATAAATGATGAAGGCTCTGGGAGGCTGACAAATTCAGCTGCTATTTTCAACTCTCTGCTTGCTTGTCACTCTGTAATTGCAGTAAATGCAACTGAAAGTACTTTTACTTGAAGGCCATTTGACAGAGGGGATGAAAACACATTTACTCTTCCCAGGCTTGTGTATTTTCCTGGGACAAGCCTGCCTATAAAATGCGTCCTTTTATCCTCAGAGAGCTATTTGGGAAATATCTTTGAGAAGAACCATGATGAAGAGCCCTTTCCCTGCATCTTCCTCCTCTTCTTCCCTCTTAACTTCTGAACCCTCCTGTGTGGGAGCCTTCTTCTCTTCGGGAAGACATGGGAAATTTACATGTATTAGTGAAAATACCGAGCTCCCTTCATTCCTGCAGTCTGGAGAATTGTTTTTCAAATTGTTGCACCAGCTAATTCGGTACAAATAATACCCTGAGTGTTTTTTTTAAATAAAATTCTTTGGTGACTTGTTTATTTTCAAGAAATTCAAACTCAGTAAAAAAAATAAGCTGACTGGATACACCTGGGTTGCATACCTTTCGGAGGATGTCCCCTGAAAAGCACAAGGAAGTTTTGCTTTGCAGGACATAACGAAAGGGAAAACTTGTAAAGTGATGTGTTTAAACCGCTGAAAAGCTGTTTCAGGCTCTGTAAGTCATCTGCATTGACCGTGGGCATCACAGTAGGCGGGCCCTGCGCCCGTTGAGTACCTCTTACCTATGAACAGGTTCCATTCAGTATCCAGATCCGCCTGGTTGGCTAGGCAACCCTTCATGACATTGAGGCAGTAGTTGTTGCAGGGCCTCACGGTAGGCAAGCCGCGACAGTATGGGCAGTACAGCATCTTCATAAGAGCCCGGATGCACCCAGGGGTGGGGCTCACCTGTAAGCACACAAGACCAGGGGAAAGTCAGCATCACAGAGATGAGTGGGAGCGGAAGACGCCACGCCCTCCTAAATAACAGGCACAGCCTTCAGCAGCCCCCGCCCTGGAAGAAACGGTGAGGAGCACAGCCCTTGTCAAGTTTTGATATGGTAGCCGCTGAATTCCTGTTCAGTACCTGTGCTCAGCAAAGTAATCGCTTCCTGAGAGGCTCCTGCCCACATTTTGCTCTCTTTCTCTCTCTGGCATTGCAATTCAAGTCGAAAACATGGGCACTGTTTCATTGCAGCGGAATGGGAAATGACATAACGCATGTACAGGCAACTTGAAAAGCCAAGAGCTCCATAAAGATGCAGTTGCCATTAAAGTTTAATGTGACACCTTTAGCCAAGTTTCCGAATGGTTACCCGATCCTTTTCTAGCGGAGCTGGCGGATACCCTTCCTGTGTTCACAGCCACCATATACAGGCTCGCTATCGCCTTGTCTGGGGTCTGTGTGATCCGGGCCTGCACAGAAGCGATGGATTTGGTAAAGCACTGTCTTGGGGCGTCTGAGGGTACAGGACAAAGTCACTGGAAACCGACCCAGCTTGGAATGCAAGCAGGGATTCTTTCAGGGGTTCAGAGCCGTCACTAACCCACCGGCCATGAAGGGCTATTTGTCCTATTTGTCCAAGAGCAAGGAATGCGGTGCCTCCAACTAATCCTAAAGCAGCGAGACTTGGGGCCCAAAGAAGGTCAGAACAAGAAGGCTGAGGAAGGAAGTGAACGTCTTCCTCTTGGAAAGTTACAGCACGGCATTCAGGGGCTCACAGCAGCTGCCTCTGCTCTGGGTCTGCTTAAGAAAGGGCCTCTGAACACTCATGCCTGGGTGGGTGGGGGCACGGGGACCCATCCCCCTTCCTGACCTGTTCACTACGATGGATTAAGGGAGAGAATGAGTCATTGTCTTCAGTTGTGTACCCGCTGGTGACCCTACTATGTCGCAATGGATAACCCCGATCCAATGGTTACACAGATGGCCATGGTCAAACTAAAGAAGACCACAAAAATTAAAAATCACATACCATGAGTCTAGGAGAAGGACTGGTAAGTCTAAGGGGTGGTGGCCAGTGAGTGCAATATTTAATCAAAAACTATATATAGGGGTAGGATAGGGGGAGAACAGGATGAGAAATACCATAATAGAGGCAGTCATAGGTTAGAAGAGAGATCTGGCACCGGTGAGACCTCTAGTGATCTAAATGGATGACACCAACTGGCAAGCTAAGCAGTAGTGGACAAACTACCTTTAATGTCCATTCCTGATAATGAACTTGACTCTACACTATATGCCATCCTAGAACCTTCATCCAGTGACTGATGGAAGCAGAGACAAACACGCACAGCTAAACAATGAACTGAACCCATGGAACTCAGTGACAGAGAGAGAGGAGCGATGAGCAAATTGGCAAAGAATGGGCTGGCGAAACCAGCAGAGACAGCTGATCTGAACAAGGGGGAGCTCTTAGTCCCCAGACCGACAGCTGGGAGGCCAGCATGGGACTGATCCAGACCCCCTGAGTGTGAGAGTCAGTGAGGAGGCCTGGGCAACCTATGGGGCCCTGGGCAGTAGATCAGTGTTTATCCCTGGTATACAAATGGACTTCGTGTGCCCATAGCACAAAGAGGGATGCTCTCTCAGCCTGGACTCTTAGGGGAGGGCCTGGACCCTTCCCTGAGCGAAATGACAGACTCTGGATATCCCCTATGTGGAAGGAAGTGGGGATAGGGTGGGAGGCTGGGGGGGATGATGGGAGGTGCGGGAGGAAGGGAGGGAGAGAGAACTGGGATTGACATGTGAAACAAGCTATTTAAAATTAAAGTAATAAAAAAGTTTTTAAAAGTGTATATATATGTACATATGTATATATGTATGTATGTATATATGTATATACACATATGTAAAATGCATACACACATATAATTATCAACAAAAGGAAAACAATGTAATATTAAGGAATCACTAACAAAAGAAGAAAACTGTAATTTGATGTCAAGAGTAGAAACATATTTAAGACTGTTAGCTCCTCAGGGGAGGTAACTGTTACATCATCACCTACAGCACAAGCTAACAACAGAGAGCTGGTTCTCATGACTAGATGTAAAATTATTGTATAGTTATTTGACTGGGTGGCGCTTGCATGATTTTGATGTTTCAGTCACGTATCTAGCTACATGCTGCTGCACTTGCATTTTAGAAATAGGAAGAAGCGAGGTGTGTTGTCCAGACCTCTGTAAGAGCATAGTCTCCCAGACAGACATGGCGCTAGCTCCTTACCAGACAAGGATGCCTGGCAAATATGCCAGAAGTCTGCTGCTTCTGCCTCCAGTGCGTGGGCCTGATCACCTCTATCTGTGTGGGCCTGACCCTTCCTGTTTTGTAGGCCAAACAAGAAAAAAAAAAACCCTCTTTATCTACAAAAAAGATGAATAACTCCTCATGGCTCACATGACAGGAGATGGCTTCTCTTGCCCAGTGGAAGATCTCAGAGTCTGCACCCACATCTTAAATGTCTCAAATAATGGAGAGGCCAACAGCAATTACTCGGCCCTCACTAGCTCCTGAACTGACACAGGAGGGTGCTGTGGAGAGGGTTGCAAGCCTACCAACCGACTGGCATGGGACTTGTGTGCTAGTTCAATGAGTTTTGCCCTTCGTCTTAGGGTTACAATGGCTGTGATGAAGCACCATGACCTAAGCAACTTGGGGGAGGAAGGGTTTATTGGGCTCACACCTCCACATCACAGCTCACCATCAAAGGAAGTCGAGACAGGAACTCAAGCAAGGAAGTGATCAGAGCCAGGAGTTGAAGCAGAAGCCACGGAGGAGCGCAACTGAATGACTTGTTTGTAGCTTGTTCATCCTACTTCTTATAGAACCCAGGTCCACTGGCCAGGTACTGCACCACCCAAAATGGGCTGCACCACCCAAAATGGGCTGGCCCCTTCCACATCAATCTTTAATTAAGAAAACTCCTTACAGCTGGATCTTACAGAGGCATTTTCTCAATTGAGGCTCCCTCCTTTCAGATAGCTTTAGCTTGGGTCGAGCTGACACAAAGCTAGTCAGCATGACCTTTATCCCGGCTTTCAATTCTTTCTCTTAGCAAAAGCTGATTTCCGTGTCAGTACCCTAACCACCCATGTTTCCTCTTTCAAGGAGGATGACAGATACGCTGTCATCAATCTCACAGCCTTGTGAAGTTATTCAGAATACCCAAGCCATGTCTTTGACCAGTGGTTTCATATTTGCGGAGTCAATAAATGATTCTATTAAATGATGCTCTCCCAAGCCTCCAGATTCTTCAGGAGCAGATGACTTAGATAAAGGAGATTCTCTCTTCCTTGCATTCACTTACGGCCCTTTGAGAATGCAACTTAGTCTCTACCCAGACAGAGAGCTCCAGGGCCATGCCTGTGCCCACAAAGAGTACACAGGCTTTGGCAGTGGAGATGGTGGATGCTTTCTAAGAAACTCCAAAAGCCAAAAGCTCATGAAACTTGGTTATCTTGCTTTACAGATTATGCTTTTAAACAACCAGTCTATATTAAACTAGAATTATGTTGAAAAATATGCTTACTGTTGTCAATGTGTGGCAGTCGTGAGATTTGTCCATTGTAGAGTTGGCTTTAGCCTTCTTTGTCAATTCAGCCCAGGTTCCACGTAAGTTATTTATTGCAGCTTTGACATGACTAACTGCTTCCATCTTTCATCTGTCTATTGGTTCAGTGTATGGAACGAAATGTTGTAGCTCTTAATGTTCCCCACAAAGTTATACAGTGGCTGTCTCCTGACTTACGTTCTGGACTTTTGCCAACTGCTGAGTTTTGATCAGGGCCCTTTGGTGGATCCTTTTCGGAGGCACCCTAACCGCTGCTTCCTTGTTGCCCTTTTGCCGGCCGAGAAGCAGCCACAGAAGAGATTGCTGCTCCCAGATCCCTAAAAGCAGCTCACATGACCTCTCAAAGGGAGATGAATGGGGCATGGACCATCCAACTCATCCCTCTTCTTGCCAGTCTGGACATCATTTCGGAGACTCAGAATTAAAACCATGGGCTGAAACCTTCTTTGCATCCTTAAGCTCTCCGTCTCACGAGCTCAGTTCAGCTTCACATCTTTCAGGGCAGCTCGACTCCTTGACTGCTGCAGCACTCCACAATTGAAAGGATTGGGTCTGAGTACGGCTAAAGATATGTGCTCGCCTCTGTGATAGGGGAGCTCTCCTCTGTGATAGGGGAGCTCTCCTCAACAGACGTTAACTGGTTTGTAATGGGGACTAGAGATAGGAACCAAACATTATTCAATCACAGGCCTCCACCTGTGTCAGGGCTTCTGGTTCCTTCCCACTCTGGCTCCTCCCCTGGATGATGGCTTTCGTCCACATATACTTACAGTTTTTTTTTTTTACTGTCTTTAAAGTTATTAACTTAATGGAACTTCACAATACACCTGAACAAAATGTTCGTGCAAGCTCTCCCAATAGGTTTCATCCTACAACAGCTCCATTTGCTCCTGACACATCTGCCAAAAGACCCTTTCAATGCTATGGAGAACTCTGGGTAAAGGGGCCATCTTCCCCTCCCCTCCAGGTGATGGAGAACTCTGGGTAAAGGGACCATCTTCCCCTCCCCTCCAGGTGATGGAGAACTCTGGGTAAAGGGACCATCTTCCCCTCCCCTCCAGGTGATGGAGAACTCTGGGTAAAGGGACCATCTTCCCCTCCACTCCAGGTGGTGCAGCTCTTGGCATCAATCCTCCATCTGATCCTGTCCCCTCCTCTGATGCTCAGTAGCTCCCTGCTGCTTCTGCTGTCTCCTTTCAGTGCAAACTTCCCTCACAATGGGGCCAGTCACTGTCACACCGAGTCAACTCTATGTTCACCTTCTCTTACTGGCCCACTCTCTTTCCTACCCCTCTCTTCCCCTCCCCAAATGTTTCCAGAAAATCTTTTAGCTCT